ATCAGATGGATCCTTGTGCTGATGATACAGGCTTGAATACATTATGCTTTGGTATTTATCAAGGCCAGGATACATAATAAAGTTATGGTCTAAGGAAACATTACCCAAGTCAGATGATGTTGGTTGCTAGTGTGCATCAGCAAAGAAAGCATTAAAGAGCAGCCAAGTATGTGTGGATCCGTTCACAGCCCAACAGGTAAATCCTTAAGTCAGCAAGTCTCCACCCACCTCACATCAGTAGCTCAAGACAGAAGTTATGGGAATCAGAGTTATTGTCTTATTTTTGTTTCTGGGTGCCAAAGGTAGTAATCATTAATGGTGGGGTGATATAAACAGTCTGTACTTGCTGCAAACTGAAAGGTTGGTGGTTCAAATCCATCCAGCAGCATAGTGTGAAAAAAGCCCATCAGGCCGGTTTCTACAAGATTATGACCACTGAAAGCCCTGTGGAGTCCAGTTTTACTCTGTCCCCAATAGGGTCAGCATGAGCTGTTGTCAACTCCACAGCAGTAGGGAATGTTGATTCTGCCATCTGTCAGTGAGTTGTGTTATGGTCAATTGTGAGTTGTGGAAGCTATGGCACCAGTATTTCAAATACCAGCAAGTCCAGGGGAGCTTCTCAATGCAGACTGTCAACCAACACTCCCAAATGGGCACATCAGAACACTGTCTGACTTGCTTGTCTTATTAGGAAAGACCAATTGTTGGAAGAAGATATTGTGTTTATTCGATCAGAGGGCCAGCAAAGGTGAAGTGGATTTATAGACACAAGGATCAACTCAAACATCCTGGTAAACCAGGCAGTGTTTCGTGATGTTGTATTAGGGTTGACCATATGTCAGCATGGACCCAGAAGCTAACAATAACAATGATGTTTATTGCCAAACTGCATTAAGCATGTGTTATGGGCTAAGCACTCTACTACTAGCAGCAAGGTTGGCAGTTCAAACCCCTCCAGCGGCTCCCATGAGAGTGACATGGTCATCTTCCCACAGAAATATTCGAACCTAGAACATTCTATGAGATAGCTCTTCTGCTCTGTTACATGCGTCAAGGTAAGTTGTAAATTGACCAGAAGACCCAACAACAACATACTTTGACTGTGATCTTAACTGGAAATCGTTTTCTTTGTTAGGTAAGTAAGGCGTGTGGGATGTGTCTTAAACCAATCTTTTCTGAAGTACAAAGGAACAGATTAGGTGTGGAAGAAAGCAACTCCAGATGGGAGAAGAAAGACTCCAGTCCACAAAAAGATTGCCAAGGAACCAAGGAATACAAACTAACAAGAGGACAAGGGACTTCTCTCAGAGTTAATAGAGTCAACCCCAAAAAGTCAAATCCTGGGTGGAGTTCAACCCATGGAGATACTATGAGGCAGATTAGAACTGTTCCACAGCATATCCAAGGCTATACATCTTGAGGGAAGCAGATTGCCACATTTCTCTCCCACGGATTGGCCATTGGGTAGGAAGTGTCAACCTTTCTGATGGTGGCCAGCCACTTAAACCACTGTGTCAACGGGGCACGTTCCCCTGGACTCAGATGTCTAGCTTCCTAAACTGCAAGAAAATACATTTCTGTGACTTAAAGTCACACATTTTTGGTACTGTGATATAACAGCATAAGGAAATTAAAATATCACGACTATAATAATTTTTTAAAATATATGTACTTGCAAGTGGGCAACGGTTAATCTTTCAAATATCTCTCTTAAGAAAGAGCAGTGTTAGAAAACTCCAGATAGCATTTTTAGCTTCCTTAACAAAGCAAGTTATTTCCCAAGTTTTCATCCTGTGAGGTGCTTGCAGGAGGGTGCTGTCGCACCTCCCTGAATTGTGCAGGCACCTCTGCTAGCGCTGGGGAGCTGGCTTGGAGGTGGATCCCAAGGGGAAGATCGGGGGACAAGAATCAGAGGAGCCAAGGTTTCACTAATTGGCTGAGCAGCCTTCCTTAGGCATCCTGAAAGATGCCATTCTTTGTACCTTTGTGTTCTAGGGCCCTGTCTTGAGGGTCATTGCCAATCTTGCTGCAGTCAGTCTCTGTTGTTAGTTGTCTCACTGTCAGCCTCCAACTCATGGTCATCCCACGCACAATGGAACGATATGCTGCCCAGTCTTGAATACTCCTCAGCGAGGCTCAGACGGCTATGATACATAAGGTTTTCACTCGCTCAGTTTTAGAAGTAGTTCCTCGGGCCTTCTGTCCCGGTCATCCTTGACTGGAAGGTCTGTGGAAGCCGGTTCAGCATCATGGCCAATACACCCTCCCTGACAGATGGGCAGTGACTGCATGAGGTGCCTTAGCCAAGAAATGCAGCTGTGTCTGCCTCGTGGGAAGTGAGAATTGTATCACTGGACCACCAGTGCCCTCTTAGGCTCATTGTACCAGCCAACAAGTGCAGTGATGCTGGTGGTGGTGGAGGCGTTGAGATGAATCAGGGGAGAGGACATATGCTTCAAGGTCATTCCCATCACACTCAAGGACAAAGCCACCTCTGGTTCAATGGTGACCTGAGGAATTATTTGAATAAACTCAGAGCTATTCAAAATACCCTCTAGAACAGTGGTTCTTAATCTTCCTAATGTCACGACCCTTTAATACAGTTTCTCATGTTGTGGTGACCCCCCCTCACCATACAATTATTTTTGTTGCAACTTCATAACTATAATTTTGCTACTGTTATGAATCGGGCGCCACCTGTGAAAGGTTCGTTCGAGCCCCCCAAAGGGGTCGCGACCCACAGGTTGAGAACCGCTGCTGTATAGCATCTCACCACTGCTTTATAGGTTTCTCTTTCACAGCACAGGAAAAGCTCCGTAGTTGACAAAGATGTGATCAGAGCGAAGGTCACGGAAGGTCGCACAAACTCTGGGCACTGGAAGCTGGACTTGTATCCAGCGAGCCATACAGACCGCGCTTGCCAGCGGACTCGGGAAAGGCCTCCGTTTAGCGGGAAGTGCTTTCACTTAGGAAGCTCCTACTGGAGGCATGTAAGGCATGTGATAGCCGCCCTAAAAACTGAAAGGGAGCACTGCGCTCAGGGTGCCCCATGTGGGAGCGTCACCGAGGGAAGAAAGAGGTGCTGCCCGTGGCTGGCAGTAGTTTAGGAAGACGTGCCATCAGTGACCCGTTTTCACAATGATGAAGGATGTACTCATACTGCCCAACAGACAGGACCCCCCTTAGCTCCGAGTACCCTCACCACCAGTCACTACATCCGTCTCGGGGAGGACAACTTATGTGCTTCCCGCCACACCGGCCTGTTTGATAATGAAACCAGGCAGAGCTGAGGGACATGGATGAGCTTTCCCCTGAAATATCCAAGTTTGGGGCTGATTAGGGTTTTGCAGAAAATGGCCATTGTATTAAGTCTGGAACAGCTTGCTTCAAGAATTATCCTGGAAATTACCCGGTGTCTATGTCTTCTGCTTTGACCCATTCAGCCACACACTGAGTGTTCACTACTCTCCTGGTATCAGGAAGGCAGAGAGCAACCTGGCCCGAAGGTACCATGAGCCTGAGCACACGGGCTGCTCTCTGGCTCAACTGCAGGGAGATGAGGATTCTCTGTGATATTTTCTGAAACAGAGCGGTAGACATGGGCTTGGAGTGCCCATGTTGGAAGGTGTGGAAACCTTGAAGTATCAACGGCCACCTGGATTTCAGAAACTGGTTTGCCAAGAAAACCAAGAGGCTCCTGAAACATCCATGAGTGGAGGGTAGTTAACAAGTGGGGATTAGTTAACATCTGAAGAAAGGCTTGATTGTCCTTCTCTTGTGCCCTGCTGGCACTTCCAACTCTGCTTTGCCTGCCAGCTGGCCCACCATCTCCTCTCACCTTCGGTGGGCTCCTTTCCTATGGGCACAGGCAGGACAAGGGGCAGGGGTCGGCCATTAAGAGGATGGCCCTGGGGGCCTGCAGCAGTCTCCCACGCTAGCTGAATTGGGTCATCAGGAAACAGGTCACTTTGGACATGACCCAGGGTGGTAGCTCCTGTATCTCATCATCCCTAGTCTCTTGACTCGCCACCCAGCATTGCTGATGCAGCCTCAGCACGTCTGCAGGATGCTTCTTCAGTCAGCACCAGGGAGGGCCAGGAGGGGGAGCACCCTGGGCCTCTTTGTCATGCAAGTGGAAGCGCAGACAGAGCTTGAGTCTCCTCCCTCCTGCCCTCCCTTTTACCTGCATCTTCCTCCCAACTCCCCTCTTTGTCTCTCTGTGTTTCCTTTTCTTCCTCTCTCCCTCCACTTCCCTTTGCTTTTTAAATGACATTTCTACTTTTTAAATGAGTCCCAGGAATCCAAAATTAGGAGGGTTCTGGAGACAGTATTTCGGTGGGTGCAGTGCTCCCTAAGAACCATGAATATTCACCTTGTTGGGTCTTACCTACAAAGGAATCTGCCGAGCTCTCCTATTCCCTTTGTATGCAAACAGAATATCACTTCTCCGAGATCATATACATCCAAGATCATATGTATACATCATATACATCCAAGATCACATACATCCAGCTTCTTCTTTCTTTACATTCTACTTACTTTCTCTCTTTACCATAATGTTTTACCTAAAAACTTACTGCCACTGAGGCCTTCTGACTCATATTGACCTTATCGAAGGTTTCTAAGACTGTCCATTTTTATAGGCAGTCTGCCTCATTTTTCTGTGGAGCGGTTGGTGGGCTTGACCCCCCAACCTTGCCATTCGCAGATCAGTGCCTCATCAACATTCTCACAAGGGCTCCTTCATGATATCTAAACTACTTTAGCTTAATTAATGAATTCTTTTGAGAGGATAAAATGCCCTCTACTTTCCACTTCCTCAGCTCCTGGTCGGGCAGAGACCCCGGTGCTAGCCAGCTGCAGGGGCAGCACCACCAGGGCCTTCTTAAGAAAACCCACTCCCCAAAGGGCTCGGAGGCCACAATGCCCACCACAGCTCACCATCAGGGAGGAATCCCCTTGCCCAAAGCCCCCAGTGAGTCACAGGAAGAGCACATCACCTGGCACTTGCCGTGCACGCAGAGGTCTGTCTCGTAGGGCCCGCAGGGGGTGCCATCCAGGACCCTGTCAGCCACCAGCAGTGGGGCCTCCTTGCCGAGAGGTAAGCAGTAGAGTTCACAGGGCTTATCTGGGGAGGGAAAGGTAAGTGGATGTTATGAGAGAATGAGGAGATGGTCACGCACGGTGCAGGCGCAGGTATGAGTTGGGCAGTCCGATGGGCCCCAATAAAAGGTAACCAGCATGCCACCCCTTGCTCACCCAGTGGGTGGCAGAGGGAAAAGACATGCAGGGAAAGGACATAGCTCAGATTAGCAGGATTCTAGGGGCTTCTTTCTCCTGGTTTACTCCCAAATTGCTCTCCTTTGCAAATATATACCAATTCCCTTGCCTCTAGGCTGGGGAAACATTTGGCAGCCTCTGATAGGCGGAAGACATTTGAAGGTGGGTTTGGGAGCAGCCCTGAGTGGCGGTAGGTGCAGAGGGAAAGAAAAAGGATTCAGGAGGTCTTCATGAATTTTGCTAAGAAGCTTAGTGTCTCCCTGCTGCTAGGTAAAAGCTGCAGGCTGCGAAATGTGGGAAGAAGGTTCCGAAAGAATTCAAACAGGGTGAAAGCAAGGAAAGGGAGCCCAGGGGGCCAGAACAAATGAGGGCCACATCACAGGCAGGGTGCAAACCACCGCTTCTGCGCCCTCTGAAACAGTCCAGTGCCCAGAATGCACCTTTGCCTAGGTTGCTCCACCAGCCTGGCTGTTCTGCCCCTACTTGGCCTTCGGGGAAAGTCCTTTCACCTTGGTTGCTTTTTTCCTCTGTTATCAGTGACCGAGATGGTCGCAATATACATCTTTCTGTAGATTACAAGCCTTTCACTAAGCCCCTTCCAATAGCCTGTGCATCTACAACTGTTTGAGTAACTCCCCGAGAGCCAGCCGGCTCTCCTGAGACGCCTTGCCACTGCAGTCTGAGGGGGTGGCTTTGTTGTTAGATGCTCTCAAGCTGTCTTGGACTCAACTTGGTCACCCATAAACAAAACAAACCCTTGTCCGGCCCTGCGCCATCTTCCCAATTATAGGGATGCAGACAAGAGTGTTTGTGAGTCTCCTAATCTAGCCATTGACAATTTGGAAAACATTCTGTTGTGATCCAATGGGTTTTCATTGGCTAATTTTGGGGGAGAATATTGCCAGGCCTTTCTTCCTTGTCTGTCTTAGTCTGGAAGCTCTGCTGATACCTATCTACCCCAGATGGCCCTGATGAAGTACCAGTGGCATAGCTTCTAGAACTGTAACTGCATGCAACCACCACAGCACAACAAACTTAGACTCTACTCTGATAGACTGTTCTTCGTCCCTTTCAAGCTGCAAAAGCTGATTGGACAGTGAGCGCTGCCAATGCAGAGATCACACTTTTATCCATGTCCTCACGTCAGGCTTGAGATCAGGCCTGCAGAAGGACTCACTAAACAGGTTTAGACAAACAAGTGGATTTTGAATGTCCCGATGGAACTATAAAACCGAAATATATTCTTTTCTATCCCTTTCGCCCAGGTCACTCAGTCCTAATGCTGACTCTAGGATTATTTTACAAAGGGAACCGCCAAAGAGAGAAGCAAGTTTGTGTCACCTCTGCTGGCCCCAGAGCCCCACCTGGAGCCCTCCCCAGTACAGGTCCGCCCGGAGGTCGGTGGGTGAACAAGTCAGGACAGAGAGGTTTGGGCAGCAATGTGACCTCTGAGCTCCAAGGTCACATCCTGGCTGGGGCAGAAGCTTGGTCTTTCCCAGCATGCTGAGGCTTTCATGACTGCATGGCATTCATGGAACCCCCTCTGAATTCTGCTGGCACCAATCTTATGCCGCCTGCTGGCTCCCAGGCCTGGTGGGAAAGCCTGTCCCAGGAAGCAGATGAGGAGGAAGCCTCAGGGTGTGGGCTAACATGTCTGACTTAGTTCATCCAATTACCCTTTACACTCGCCTATAAGCCTAGTTTTTCAGCACATTTTTAAAGGCCGTTTTTGTGATAAAATTAGGTGCCTCGGCTGATATTTGGGCCAGCTTATATTCGAGTATTTATGGTAGTTGAAGGGGAGAAAGAAAAAAAATCTGTTCATGAAAGTAGATTCGAGGTTCTTAGCTTCCCAGGCCAGCAAATTGAAGATGTCCCTCATGAACCCACCCCACAAACAGGCCCCCCTCTACATACACGGTCCACAGGTGAGCACAGGTGAGCAATGAACAGTCTCTAGGGTCCCAGAAATTCCACTGGTAGGATCTGGCAAACTAAAGATGGGGCAGGGTGTGCAAAAATCCAGGAGGAGGGTCTGACTTGAGATGCTCAGAGGGCAGAGAATGCTCTGGGAGTGACTCCGTATCATGCTGGCAGGCTGAGATGGTTGGTCCCCCATTTCAGTGAGATGATCCAAGTAGGTGGCCAATGGGAGGGGAAACCTGGAGACCCAGATGCCACTGAGAACAGGTCTGGGAAGGGTCATCCAACAAGAGAGTGGAGGTGCTCTTTGGGTGGTTCTGAGTAAGCGTATGGTAGGAGGTGAGAGGAGGGATAGTCCCTCCCCAGCCTGAAGGGATCACCGAGCCCCAGATATGGATACTCTATATCCTGGGTTGCCCCTGGCATTTCACTGTAAGGAATGAAAAGTGGATTTTAATTACTATTAGATTGACATGCTGGCTCGATACTGGGAATCATCAAGCTTTTAGGATGATGGTAGCTGCTATGATTCAATTGTGACCTTCAAAAGATATTTTGAATACCTAACCCTTATATCTGTTGTTGGAAACAGGGTCTTTGAACATGAGGTCATACTGCAAGTTGGGTGGGTCTGAAGCCCATCTGAGCGGTGTCCTTACAGAAAAAGGAGAGGAAGCATAGAGAAACAAAAGCAATGACGTTACGCTGCAGCTGCAAGCCAAGGAATATCTGGGTCACCAGAAGCTAGGAGAGACAAGATAGGATCTAGAGGCTTCAAAGAGACACCCTGAATTTGGACTTTGTTTCCCAAACTGTGACAAAATAAAATTTTGCTCTTATAAGCCTCCTAGCTTGTGGTGTTTTGCTATAGTAGTCCTACAATTGACGCAGTGGTGATAGCGATAACTATATATAAGGATAACTATATAATGTATAGAGTTTCTACTACATGCCGGGCAATAAGCTAAATCCCAAATAAGAATTTCAGCTGAGCACCATCATTGGTTCTGTCCCACAGGTGACCTCATGGGCTTGCAGAATGTATGTACGTAAAGGGCCAGGCCCGCTCCCTGTCATTGCTCCTGTCTGTCCTAAGGACCGGTCAAGTCTGCTCTTGGTTGGTGAATTACAAAGAAGTTTGTCTACTTGCCAAGTGGAGACCCCTGAAGCCCGAGGCAGAACAATATCTTGGATACAGTTTCATGGGAATCCTGCTTTCACAGTGTACACTCAACTGTGAGCAGAGATGAAAATGGAATTAGGAGTTTTAAGGTGTGGGCATCAGGCCAATGAGGGCCTTTAGGTTCCCCAAAGGAGGGGACCTGACATCAAATGCAAGGGACTTAGGCCATGACCTCAGGACCCCAAAACATAGTGGGTTCACCTGTATTGACTCTCCCACCTACAATGCCCTTCATGACACAGCTGCCTGGTGATGCCAGGCTCAATAACGGTCCAGAATTGGGCTTCCTTCCACTGCCCTTCTTCTCCACTCAATCCCTCCGTTTTCTTTTAAAAAAACATTCTTCTGGGGCACCCATACTATCAAGGTATAGCATCATCTCTCCAAACAAGAAAACCTCAAAAGCACTGCTCCCCTGTCTGTGAAGGAGACTTGGGGAACAACAAAATAGAATCTCCAAATTCTAGCACCAAACTACTCAGAGTACCTTATTATTTTCTGAACATTTTCCTCTCCAGATTGCCTGAATTGGAGAAATTTCTAAAATAAAAGACCCTTGGAAATACCATGGTTCCAGGATTCAATTTTGAGCAGTGTCCACCCACTTAAGTCACTTAAACTTAAAAACACTCACTGCCCTCGAGTTGATTTGGGCTCATAGTGACCCTATCGGACATAGTTGAACTGCCCCTATCTGTTTCTGAGACTGAATATCTTCACAGGAGTAGGAAGCCTCATCGTTCACTATGGAGTGGCTGGTGGTTTTGAACTGCTAACCTTGAAGTTAGCAGCCCAACATGCAACCAACTACACACCAAGGCTTTGTCTTCAATCACTAGCAGCATGTTAACTGTTGTTGTTGGTTGCCATCAAGTCAGCTCCAACTCACGGGAGCGTCTGCCATCTTCATACCCACACTTCACTGGTGTGACTAAGAGTCCGGCTAGTGCATTGAGCGTTCCTCACTTTTGATGATCCTACGCGTTACCAAACACGATGGCCTTTCCTAAAGACAGATTTTCCCTGAGAGCATGCGCACACGAAACAAAACGAAGACTTGTTATTTATTCCTTCTGTCCCTCTCCTTCCTTGTTGACTTGAATTTCGAGGAAGTTTTGCTTCAGTAGAAGGGTCTCCTGATTTGAGGAGACCTTGGCACAAGTCTGCATGGTAGCAACGGGAAACTGAGTGCTCTTCCCCCTCCCTCCACTCCACCTTTTTTTTTTAATAAATCATTTTATTGGGGGCCCTTCCAGTTCTTATAACAATCCACACATCGATTTTATCAAGCACAGCTGTGTATATTCCATTTTTGTTTTTAAGGAGTGGGTTTCAGTTTTATTTTTTCTCAGCTCGATTAGTTTGTGCTTCCATCGGTCCACGGTGCATGCGATGTATTCTGCCAACACACTCCAATGCAGTGATTCCCCTCTGTCTTCTTCTGACATTTTGAAACGGCCGTGGCTTACGACAAGCTCCCCTTAACCATCACAGCGACCCCTTTGCTTTGCAGAACTTTCATGAGGGCCTCTGCAGCAGATATGCCCAAAGGATTAGTATTGACTCCTGGCTCCATAGAGGGGACTGCTCGTCCAAATGGGATAACATATTTAAGAATCTCCTTGTTTTCTCCCTGTATCATGATGTCACACAGAGGATTACATCTTCATAACTATTACACAGCACCATACCAACCCGTCCTCCAAGGAAAAGAACCATGGACCTCCCCGCTTGACTGACTG